GAGCAGATGGCATCACAGCTGAATTCTACCAAACATTCAGAGAGGATCTGTTACTGACTGACTCTACTTAAACTATTTCAAAAAGTTGAAAAAGAAGGAACACTCCTAAAGTCATTTTATGAAGCAAGCATAGCCCTAATGCTAAACCAGGCAATGATATTACCGAGAAAGAAACTACATACCAATATCTCTCATGAATATTGATGCAAAAATCCTTAACAAAATTTTAGCCAATAGAATCCAAAATCATATCTAAAAAAATAATAATTCACCATGACCAAGTGGGATTCATAACAGGTATGCAAAGATAGTTCAACATAAGAAAAATAATCAACCCTATTATAATTCACCCTATTATAAAAGTAAATAATAAGAACCATATGATCTTAGTAATTGATGCAGAGAAGGCATATGACAAAATTCAACACCCTTTCCAGTTTAAGACACTCAGCAAAATTGGAATAGAAGAGAATTTCCTCAACTTAGTGAAAAGTGTGTATGCAAAACCAAGAACCAATATCATTCTCAATGGAGAAAGAGTAAAAGCATCTTCCTTGTAAACAGGGACCAGACAAGGATGTCCACAGTTACCACTTCCATTCAATATTGTACTGGAAGTGCTTGCTAGGGCAATACAGGAGAAGTAATTAAAAGGCATCCAGATTGGCAAAAAGATGGTTTCACTATTGCTATATGCAGATGATATGATAGTGTACGTAGAAAACCCCAAAGACTCAACAAAAAAAACTATTAGAACTAGTAGGACAACTTAGTAGAGTAGCAGGATATAGGATCAATATCTAAAAATGAGAGGCATTCCTCTACAGCAACGAAGAGAACTTAGAAGGAAATCATGAAAGCGATACCATTTACAATAGCCAACTACAAAGTCAGATACTTGGGAGTGAACCTAACTAGAGATACAAAAGGCCTGTACAATGAAAACTACAGGATATGTCTGCAAAACACAATAAAAGACTTACAGAAATGGGAAAATGTGCCCTGTTAATGGATAGGAACACTCAATACTGTGAAAATAACAATCCTACCAAAAGCAATCTACATATTCAATGCAATCCTAATACAGATACCAAATTCATTTCTCAAGGGGACTTAAAGGGAAATTGTCAAGTTTATTTGGAGAGGAAAGACCCCATATAAACAAAACACTTCTGAAAAATATGAAGTGGGAGGCATAGCACTCCCTGTCCTCAAAACCTACTACATATTGGTAGTAACCAAAACAGCATAATGTTGGTAAAATAACAGGCACACAGACCAGTGAAACAGAATTGAGAACCCCAAAACAGAACCAGCTATCTATGGTCAACTGATATTTGACAAGGAAATAAGCTTATCAAATGGGGAAATGACAACCTCTTCAACAAATGATGCTGGCAAAACTGGACTGCTACCTGCTGAAAGCTGAAACAGGATCCACATGTCATACGACATACAAACATCACCTCAAAGTGCATCAAAGCCTTGGGAGTAAAGCCCAAAATCATAGAGTTCATAAGAGACAAACTGGGGTCAAGCTTAGAAGCTCCAATCTTTGGTATAAAGAAACTTCAAATACAGCCAGAAATGCTCAATCTGAAGAGGATAAAATTGATGAATGGAACCTTCTAAAGATTAAATCCGTGGGCACATCAAAAACTTTTTCCAACAGGATGAAAAGAAAACCTACCAATTGGGAACATTGGCAATACCATTTCAGACAAGAGTCCAATAGTGAACATTTACAGAATATTCTTGGGCCTCTGCAAGAAAAAGACTGATAACCCAATTACAAAATGGGCAAAAGACATGGAAAGAATTTTCACAGAGGAAGATACTCAAATGCTAACAGACATACAAAGAAGTGCTCCAGATCACTGGCAATAAGAAAGATGCAAATCAAAACCACAATGAGATACTATTTTACTCCAGTAGCAGTGTCAAAATTTAATAGGACAGCAAGCAATAAATGTTGGAGAGATTGTGGTAAGATAGGAATTCTTTTACATTGTTGGTGGGATTTTACAATGGTATAACCACTTTGTAAGGCAGTTTGGAGCTTCCTCAACACTGACATTCTATATGACCCAGCTATTCCATTGTTTGAAATATACCCCAAGAAAATGAGAACTGAGGCTCAAATGGAAATTTGTATTGAACCACTGTTCATAGCAGCATTATTCACCATTGGAAGAACATGTAAACAGCCCAGATGTCCAACCACAAATGAATGGAGAAGTTGTGGTTCATTCATAGAGTGGAATACTAGACAGCATGAAGGAACAATCATTTTGTAATTATTACCTAACTTGAGAGGGACTGGAGAGCATTATGCTGAGTGAATTTAGTCCCACAATGACAAATATTGTGTATAACCATCATTGTAAAATGAGTATGAGGATCCAAAAGGGTGGGGTGAGGGTGAAAATAAAGAGGCAAGGATGGGTGTAGTTGTAGAGTGTTAATCATAGGGTTGCACAATTTGATGGCTTGGTGGAGTGAAGGAAATGGGAAGGATATTTTGTGAAAAAGAATGTATTCAAATTTTGTAAATAAATCAATATAAAATTTTAAAGTGAATTAATAAAAGACAAATGTAATTTGAAATTGTAAACCTTTGACTGCTTTTGAGTTACAAAAATGACAATTTAATATGATTTATATTAAAATTTGTTACACCCTCCCACCAAGGAAAACAAATTTAAAAAAAAATAAACTCAGATGGGGTGAGAAAAGTATAGATTCTGTAAGTAATAAGTTAACATGACAGTGATCTTCGTATGTTTATTGAATGAATGTTGTAGAATTTAATGACATACTAGATTAGAACTTAAACTAGATGCATAAGTTACTAACTGGAGGTGACAATTTCAGTGAAGAATTTCACTCAGTGAGCTTATCCACTTACCTTTGCCATTCTCATCTTTGAATTCAAAGAGACACTTTTGTTGTCACCTTTCCCCATCTCATGTGAAGAGGGAAAAATCATGTATTTATTTCCTCAATGTACTGACAAGACAGGTCTTCTATATGAGTCTCCACTCTGAAACTAGTCAAAGGGATTAACCTTCCACTGGCCATTAATAAGAAACTTCTAATTTGATATTTTAATAAACAACCCCTTTCTATTAAGTTAGTAAAAAAATTGTGATATCTTCTTTGCAGCAGCAATTTAGAGCAGCAGAATAAAATTTTCTTTAGAAACTATTGTTGTTACTGTTATGTGCCATTGAGTCAGAGCTGTCTCATAGCTGATCCTCCAGTGGGTTTTTGGAGGCTGTAAACTGCATGTGAAGAGATTAGCCATCTTTCTCCTGCAGAACACTTCGTGGATTTGAACCACTTGCCTTTGGGTTGGCATCACAATACCTTACTACCAGGCCACCAGAGCTCCCAACAGCTCTAGAGACTGTTGTTTGCTTTCAAGTCAAGCATGACTCATAGTGACTCTATGAATAAAAGGTCTGAAGCCCCTCTACAACTATCTACATTTTTTAAAGTTCATAGAGTTTCCAGAGGCGTATTATTTAGGAAGTGGATTCCACTCCTGCTTCCAATCTAGAGACTAGTCATTTAAAAAAAGTGTCAAATAAGAGTCTGGTGTGAATTATTCATATTCCAGTCATCTGTATTTTATATATATATTACTCCAAAGTACTTAGGACTTAACTTTGTGTTCTTACTGCCTCTGATGTATGAATATGAAGAGGAATTGGGGAGCAGCAGTAGTAACTGATCTCAGATAGAACTGGAATTCAGATCTATGCAAGAGAAAAGTGAAGGGAGAGATCAATGTATTGGGAAATTAAGGAAAACCTAACATTTTTAAGGTTTTCAGGGAAAACATTCCGATATCTTGTATCTAAATAATCATATAGAAACTGGGTTCCCAAGTAACTGAATGAGGAAATATCCAAACTCAGAGATCTCATAGAACACTAGTCCAAACCCTACTTTAAACAAAGAATAAATGAACTCTTATATAATACAGGAAGCAACTTGTCCCAATGGATCTATGGACAGCTTAAGCTTCAAGGTCACTGATCCATACACCTTTCAAGCCTGGAATACAGGAATACAGGAAGGGAAAGAAGTACTCTTCACTCAATAACTAGAAATTCCTCAGAGGAAAAACCATGATCATTATAATTGTCCAGGACAGCAATTCTAATCATCATAGCTCTTATCTATCTCTAGAAACAAAAAGAACCTATCAAGCCTTGAGTACTTAGTAACACCATGTTTCAATGTTCCATACTTATTTTATTCAAATTGCACTTTTCATTTTCAGACAGTAATATTCATTCTTCCATTTATTCAACAAAGTTTTGTACACATTATAATGTTAAAAGACACCTAACCAGTTTTAGTTGACTTAACAAAGCATTTCTGTGTTTCTATATTCTTTGTGAAGTATATTTGACAGTCCCTTCCCATATGCCTCATTTTTGGATTTTACAAGTTTCCAAGAAATAGAGATGGAATTAGGAGTACAGATGTGAAAGCATCACTTCCAGGAAATAGGAACAAATGGATAAGGCATGGTCTCTTTTCCCTTTGGTCTGACTTTATTTTTATTAAATTTAAGGGCCTTAAGAAATATTTTTAGGAAATAAGAACAAAAATGTGTTTCACTATTTGGAGCTAAGAAGATCTGAATAAAATTCCTCAATTGAAACATTCAGGACTGAGAATTGTACTTTGTACCTTTTTGTCTGTGGTTGATTCTCATTATCTCTACGGCTTTCTACTCTGAGCTGTTCTACTGCAGCAATAATCGAAAATGGGTGAAAATCTTCCTTCAGACTGGAAACACCATCTAGGAACAAGAAAACATAGGGGAGAAAAGCCCTGAGTACAGAGGCAGATATTTAGGCATCTGCAGGGAGTTTAGAACGGGACCTCCAGGATCAGAGAAGGAAAGACTGTGGTTGATACTGGAAAGAAATTGCTGATAGGAAGAAGAAATTCTTGATGCAAATGTTTCTTGAATGATGGCATCATTTCTCTTTGGGATCTGGCTTGGGTTTTGGATTAATAGGTATATTGTCTTTTCTGATCTTCTGCATCTTTAAAAGTGATTGAAATTGCTTCTTAGTCAAGATGAACAATCCTGTGTCCACAACAAACAGAATCCCCACCAGTAATGGTATAATGAATTGTATCCACTTGATTTTTGGAGCTACAATAAAATAAGAAGGGTAATTTATATTAGAACTGGTGAATCTTGTTCATAAATGCATCTATCCTAAGCAAAGGCTCTAGCATATCCATCTAACTTTCAGTATGATGCAATATCCAGAAGCAGAGAAAATACTCTTGAGATTATATCTCTTAGTGCATGTCCTGCAATTTATTTATGAATCCTGGGTGTCCTTCCACAACCTCTCTGTTCCTCTAACCCATATACCCGAGGATGATAGTCATACGAATAATGGTCCTTTTCTGGGGGCTGATAAAGCATTCACATACAATTTGAGGGATAGGAAGAAGGTAGAGAAGGGACAAGGGTCACTAGAGTCTTGTTTCTTAATGAATCAATCTTTAATTTTTGCATGGTCTTTGCTTGAAATGAAGGTCTTGGATTAGACCATCTTTAAATTACCTTCCAACTCTATTAGTTTGTGCTTCAGTTATTTTATCTGTGTAGTGTTGGGTTTTGAAATCATTTCAGAATTTCAGAGCCCCAGAGTGTTACACTCAGAAGTCACTTTGTTGTTGATTGCCATCAAGTTGAGCATGACTCATAGCAGCCTTATGAACAAAAAGCCTGAAGCCCCTCTACTACTATTGACATAGAGCTTCCGGAGGCATATTGTTTAGAAATTAGATGCCACTTCTGCATCCAGGCCTATCATAGTATGTTATTGTTGTTATGTGCCAGTGAGTCACCTGCGATGCGTAGTGATCCTATGTACAGTAGCTCTTAACCCTTCCCTATCCTGAATTGGTCTCACTAATTCTGAAGTCACTTAGAGATCAACTAATCCAAAGTTCCCAGCTTGACCACATAACCTTTACCTGGAAATGCTTTTGAAAAGACTGACATATAGTTATAGGACTCATTTAACCAATTAAATAAAAATTCTTGAAAGATGATATGTATGTGTGTGTGTGTGTATGTTTCATCAATGATCTGCAGATGATACAACCCTGCTTGCTGAAACTGAGGAGGACCTGAAGCACTTGCTGCAGAAGGTCAAGGACTGCAGTCTTCAATATGGATTGAAGGTCAACATCAAGAAAACAGAGATTCACACTACTGGGCCAATTGGCAGCATCATGTTAGATGGTGAAGAGATTGAGACTGTTAACAGCTTTAGTTTGCTTGGCTCCACATCAACACTCTTGGTACCAGCAGCCAGGAAATTAAAAGTTGAATTGCATTGGGAAGTCTGCTGTCAGAGACCTCACCAAAGTACTGAAGACCAATGATGTCAGTCTGGAGACTAAGTTGCACCTGATATAGGCCATGATCTTTGCAATTACTTGCTATGCATCACAGAGCTAGACGATGACTAGGGATGACAGAAGGAGAGCTGATTCCTTTTAGCTGTGATGCTGGAGAAGAGTATTGAATGTACCATGGACTGCTAGGAGAACAAACATGTTCATCCTAAAGGGGGTGAGACCAGGCTGTTCCTTGGAGGCCAGGATTCTGAAACACCATTTGACATACTTTGGGCATGTTGCAAGGAGAGACCAGTCCTTGGAGAGGGACATCATGCTTGGGAGGGTGGAGGGACAGAGCAGGAAAGGAAGAGCCTTAATGAGATGGATTGATTCCGTCACTGAGGTGATGGGGATTGAAGTGTTGGAGACAATAAGATTGTCAAGGGAGAGAGCAGTGTCTAGGGCTGTTGTACATACGGTTTCTATGAGTCACAAGTGACTCGAAAGCACATAACAACATATGTGTGTATATGTATCCATGTGTGTATATATTTGTATATATATGTGTATATAATGGATATATATGCATATAATATATACGTACACTGGAGAAGAGTCTTGAACATACCATAGACCACTAAGAAAACAAATAGGTCTGTCTTGGAGAGGGAGAAACCAAGTTTCTCCTTCAAAGCTAGGATTTTCGAAGCTATGTCTCACATAACTTGGGCACGTGTATCCAGCAGGGACCTGTCCTTGGAGAAGGACATCATGCTCAGAAGGGTGTAGGTACAGAGAAAGAGAGGAAGACCCCAGACAAGATGGATTGATACAGTGACTGGGGCTATGAGGGTAAGTGTGTTGGAGTCAGTGAGATTGGCTCCGGACAGTGAAAGCTTCAGAACTGTTGTGCATAGGGTCACAATGAGTAACAGGAGACTCAATGACACATAACAACAACAACAATAATCAATCAATCTATTATCTATCTATCTATCTATCTATCTATCTATCTATCTATCTATCTATCATGTTTGTTGTATTGTGTTGCCCTGTTGTGTATACCATACAGTTGGAACTGGCCTATCAGTTGGAACGGATCCTCCAGTGGGTTTTCAGAAGCAGTTAATCACATGGGAGGAGATTACTCATCTTTGTCCCTTGGAGCAGCTGGTGGTCTTGAACCTTGTGCCTTCAGGATTTCAGCATAGCTTCTTGCCACTAGGCCACCAGAGCTCCCTTATATATGTCTAAGCTCTTCACAATATTTTATTGGAGTCCAGGTCAACACCCTTGTTTTATACCTGAGATAGTGGAAATTTGGAGATGGAAGTCTCCAAATAATTAGCCAAACTGGGATAAGACCTTAATTCTTACTTCTGCTCTTATACTTTTATAGATGTAGGTAAGAGTAAAACCTATCAAGGAATAAATATGACTTATTCCCAGCAAGGTAAATATTTTGAAGGTTCACTCTTTTATAATACAAAATTCAGAAAGGAGTGTTCTCCATTAACCACTGGAATGGCACACCTGCCTGCACTCCCCTCATCAAGTTTTCTTCTTCACCCCTCAGTGTATAGGCACACAGCCTACAGACTGGATGCTTTCCTTTTCCGGCCCTCATATGCTAGAATGAGCTCTTCATACTCTTGGTCCTTTCAACTTTGAAACTCTCATTAAATTTGATAAACAAGTGACTTTGATATCAAAATGCCAGTCATAATTTTTTATGCTTGGTTATTCTTTAACAGTTTCCAAAGTCATTTCACAAATATTACCCTGTTGAATATAAAAATTCCCCATTGTAAGTAGTAAGCAAGTCAAAAATCTAAGGCAGAGATTAAAAGGCTCCTTTCCTTGCAACACCCCCATGATACATCTTCAAGGATATGAATATGTACAGCCAAGCACAATCAATAAGAGTGCATCTAAATTCCAAAATCAATCTCCATAATAGTCTATGTGTTTCCTACTGCCAAAGGGGCCCTTTAGAGTAGTGAGAGAAGATCTTCACCCTGAAACCCACAGCGTCCCTTTTCAGCAGGAAGTAGCTAAGAGAATACGCCATCCCCTTTTCCTTATGACTCAGGGTGAAGTCTCTCTCAGGGAGGAGTGATAGGGAATGGCAAAGGACACACTGACAAAGAAGATTAATCAGAACTGGCTTTGACAAGCACTGTGGCATTTGGACAAGAACAAACTGGGAGGAGGGTAGAGAGAATAGTGCAACAATGAATGAGTGGAAGCCCAAAATCTCTGTAAATGTTTATGAAAATTAATAAAATATAATTATTAGAAAAAAAAAAGCAAAAAGAAAAAAAGAAAAAAAAAGGCTCCTTTCCAAGATGTGACATGTACCCTCACTCCACACACTCTATCACTCAGGATCAGATGCCTTCACTTTCTTTCCTTGTTATGACTCCTTCTACTTCCTTTACTGACTCACCTTTCACAGTAATGTAGAGAGACTGAGAAGACTGATTATGGCCAAGAATTATGCCTGTGCAATTATAGAGGCCACTATCTTCAAGTGTAGTCTTGTTAAAGGAGAGGTTGAAGTTTTCATACCAGTACTTTAAGGCTTTGCCATTCTTGTAGTAGATAACCTTGAAAGCATCCTCATTCTTCCAACTGTGACACCTCAGGAAGAGTGGCTCACCCACTTTCACCACCTTAGCAGATACCTGAAGCAGCAACCATTCTGAAAAGCATTCACTATATTAATTACTTAATACATTTGTTGATAAATACATGTTAGTGATGGTGGTAGTATGTACCAAACTGACCCATAACTGACCCTCCCCTGAGTTTTCAGAGGCAGTACATGGTAGCTATGGAGATTGCCCATCTTTCTCCTGTGGAGAACCTGGTAGATTTGAACAGTGTACTTTGGGGCTGGCAGTGCAAATTACCACTCACTAAGCTACCAGAGCTCCATAAATAAATCCATAATTAGATAAAATAAGAACTGGTCAGCCAAGAATTTGTGTTAAGAATCAAAGATTATTGCTAACTCCTTGCTTGGCTAGTAAAGTCAATTTTAAAAAAAAAGGGGGGGAAGACAAAATTCTATTTAGACACTATCTTTAAAAAGTCCTTCCTCTTCATGAAAAGTCAGTTTGTACTCTGATCTTTTTTTTTCTCAGTCCTTCTACAGAAAGCCCGAAACCTAGAAATCTCTTCAGAGCCACTGTTGCTTCTTAGAGCCACTAAGAGTAAAATAATCTAGTCTGCCTCAGGAATGTTAATTTAGCAGAGTCTCTTTGGTGGCCTAGTGGTAAGAAATTGCACTGCAATCCCAAAGTCACACAATTCAAATCTATTAGCTGTGCTGGGGGATAAGGATGGACAATCTCCTTCCATGTGATTTGCTGTCACCTAAAACCTACTGGAGGGTCAGCTGTGATTGGCTTTGACTCAATAGCATACAGCAGCAACACCTCATAGAGATTCCTCAATTGTATTATTAGTTATAGTTTTCCCAACACTCCCTCAGATCATGTTGCTATTATTGTGTGCCATTAAGTAATTTTCAAATCTTACTAATCCTCAACACATAAGGCAGACTGGCCTAAAGGCTTTCCTAGGCATCAATCTTTTTACGGAAGTGGATCATCAGGTATTTTCTTCCATCAAGCAGTTGGTAGGTTCAACAGCCTGTTTTTCTATAAGTTGTCTAGCACTGAGCTATAACTCCAACAGGACTCCTTCAGAATATATATGAACATTTAATTTACTATTTGTGTAAGTATATATCACTCACTCATTGTGGTCCAGTCTGAACTGACTCATAGCTGACCTTCCAGCAAGTTGTGAGAGGCTGTAAATTACACAGGAAAATGCCAATTTTTTTCCTGTGGATCAGCTGGTGGGTTCGAACGACCTGAGTTGGTAGTGCATCTCTTTATCTGTGAGACCACCAGTCATCCCTAGGTCATTTAGAAAGTTATGGTGACCTAGAGGTAAGGAGTTGTACTGTCAACCCAAAGGCACAAAGTTCAAATCCAGAAGCTGTTCTGTAGGAGAAAGGTGAGCAATATCCTCCTACATGGTTTATAGTCTCTGAAAACCCACTGAAGGGTCAGCTATGAACGGGTTCCAACTTGATAGCACATAACAACAGCAACAAATAACAGCGTTTATGTAAGTATGTGTTTAGTGTCTTCTTTTCCATTTGGCTCTGTGTTCCAGGAGGGAAACAGTCATTTTTCACAGTACACCCAAACTACCTCAGTGTAGAATTTATTTTTATATCTTTGCAGTAGGTTCTAGAAGACTCAATGATAACTCCTAAATAAAATTTGTTTGCACAAACTTTCCACTCAAAACTTTTCTTTTGTAAAATCATATTTCTAATAAAATTATCTTTTTTTCTGGATGTTTTCCAGTTCTTTTCAAAGACATTGGCTATCTTTGACTTAGTTATTATCTTTAATTCACTCATTATAGATATGAATTTGTTGAGTACTTACTAACTGCTAAGCATTAGATTAGATCCTGATGACTGTTGGTATGTTGTTGCTGCCCAAAGCATTTACTAACTTACAAATACTCAATTACGCTGTGCTACTTTCTGTCAGTAGAGGAGTGAGAAAGATCAAATAAGCATAGGCTCTATTGCTTAATAATGGCAGAGGACTTGGAAAATGTACACAGATATCTTCTTTTTTTATATCTTCTATAGCAAAAGCAATGATCTTATATTTGGGCTGCATGCATTATGTAGAGAAAATGTTTTAATTAAACATTTTCCTTATATTCCACAAAAGCAGCTCTTGGTTAAATTTACCTATTCACCATCACATTTGATCACATAATATACATATGCATGAGATAGTCAGAGGCAAAATGCAGTAAAAGGATAATGTTAGAGATATTGAAAAGGGATTGAAGTGCTGAGTGGGAAAGTAGGAATATTGTTATTGTTGTTATGTGCCATCGAGTCTCTTGTTACTCATAGTGACCCTAGCTCTATCCTAACCCAACATTATTGTCTCTGACAAACCTACCCCCATTAGTCACGTAACTGAGTAAATCTATTTAATCAAGGGTCTTTCTCTCTTGTGCTATCTCTCCACCCTCCCAAGCACGACATCCCTCTCTAAAGACTGGTCCCTTCTTACAACATACCCAAAGTATGTCAGATGAAGCTTCAGAATCCTTGCTTCCAAGGAGCAACCTAGTTTCATCCTCTCCAGGACAAACTTGTTTGTTCTTCTAGCAGTCTATGTAAAAAGCAGTGGGTAGGTCTTGAAGTAAAGACCTTGAATCCCACCCTAATGCTCCTGAGCCTTGAGATGACTTGTTTCCTCCCCATGAGATGGAGAATTCCTCCCCATCATCCCAAAGGAAAATCTAGATTCTTACTTGTAGGTAAGACTTCCAGGACCACAGGATTGCTCTGGGTATGTTTTTGGTCCTGACACTTGTATTCCCCACTGTTGCTGATGTTGGCATTCACAATTTCCAAACTTGAAGTTTTCTGTGGTAACATTATGTCATTGTGGAACCATGTAGTGGAGTTAGCTTGAAAGGATGTATTCCCATTACATATAAGTGTCACACTCTCTTTTACAAATATTGGATTCCATTGGGGATTCAAGGTAATGATAGACTTCTTGATAGCTTCAAAGAGATCAAAATGTAAAAAAAGAGACTTTTTACCAAACCAAACACACTGACACTGTTAAAATTATTTGTTACTCATATCAACCTCTATATGACAGAGTTGAACTGCCCAATTAGTTTTTCAAGGCTGCAGATATTTCATAGAAGCAAATTCCTGCATCTGTTCCCAATTGCCTACCCTCAGGTTAGTAATCAAATGTCTTAACCATTGTGTATCCAGGACTACTTAAAAGATATATAGAGGAGAAAAAAATAATAAATAATGATCGAGGCTCAAAAGAATATACATTCAAATAGTCAGATAATCAATAATTAGTCTATACCTGCAATGCTGGTGCTAAAACACTGTCCTGATCCTGGGAGAAGGACCAAATGATAGTGCTCGCAGTTTAAATGAAAGACAGAAATCACATACAGGGTATTTAAAGGAAACAAACATATCAGTTACTGTGGCATAGTATAATTCACCCTAATATTCTGTATTTTGATTACAGTGTCTGTAAATTGAGGACTACAATCTTTTTAGGCAGAGACAATGTCTTTCAAGAATAATCATTGCCCAGCACAATGGTAAATGCTCATTAAGGATTTACTGAGTGGATGAATAAATAAGTGACTAATGGATGAATGAATGTGTTGGACTACATGACCTATAAAATATTTCCCAGTTGTAATTTAATTTTTTTTACAAAAGTGGGAGCTCTAGTGGCCCAGTGATGCACTGCCAAGCCAAAGGCTTGCATTTCGAGCATGCTGTTTCACAGGAGAAAGATGAACAATCTCCTTCTGTGTTATTTACTGCCTGTGATTTAAACTTGCTGGAGGGTCAGCCATGAGTCAGTTATGACTTGATGGTACCAAATAATAACAACAGATGACCAGGTATTTCCCAGTTGTAAATATTTTATGACAAGGTACGTGCACATGGACTACAAAATGTATATAAAACCGGAAGGTGGTGAGAGGCACTAAGAAGATCAGTTTTGAGCAGCTTCCAAGAACAAAAAGATGTGGTGAAGATTTGAATAAAGGCCAAGAAAGTTGTGAGATGATTATGAACAAGGAGTAATGTACTTGGAAAGAATTGGACTTGTTTCCAAGGGACATAATTTCGAATTCTATTCCTTGTTAGCTGTGTCATCTCCAGCAAATCTTATAACTTCTCTGAGTTTTATTCTTTTGGGTTATTAAATTAAGAAAATCATTCTTGTCTCCTGGAACTGTCATGAGTGTTTAATGACCTATGAAAGTGCCTAGGAGAGAAGTTAAGACATTGTACAGCAGATATGGTTGTTGACAAATAAAAACAAGGGGGTGACTTATGATAAGTTGTAGTCACAAAGGTTTCAAATGGGAGACGGAGAAAAGACAAGACAAGATAGAGATAGGAGGCAGGCTGAGCAATGAGGAACCAATTCAAAACTGTTAGAAAATAAGTGATGGGATGAGGAGAAGCAGCAATTGACAAAAGAGCCATGGAAACCCAATAGAACAAGGAAAATGAACTCACCTGCTAGCCTTCCAGCTGAGCCTGCAAGAGTCCAGAAAGAATAAATTAATGTCTATCCTTGGCCTACTGGTACTCCGAGCATTGACATTTGGTTGTGGGGACAAGGTATTTGTCCTCAAAATTGAAAGGGTCAGACATTTTCTCAGTAATCTGACCCAAGGAGTGAAGGAATTTCTGTCTCTTTTTCTCTCTCTGGCCCTCCCTCCCTTGCTAGGATCCTTAAACACTACATGTGCACAAGTTACTGTAAGGTTGTCTATTTGGTTGCTACTTTATATGCCTGGATTCTACTACTTTCAGAATGTCTCAACCACAGAGTTCTCGGAAAATGACCCATGGTCTGTGCATGCCCTATGAAAAATATCACCTCTAAGACTGCCAAAAAGTCCACCACTGCCCTTCTCTAGATCCATTTATCCTGTCCAAGAAGCACAATCAGATTTCTACTTACAGAAAAGCAACAATCCCATCCATAGCTGGCCAAGGCTTCCCACAACAGCAGGCATCTCCTCTTTACTCTTAGGTACTAACTGGTTGGAAAGACTGATGGCCTTAAAATAGACTTAAAAAGAAGAAGGAAACGGGGTTTCTTTGGTGTGTTGTGTGTGTGTGGGTTTTTTCCCCTTTTGGTATCATATCGTGTTAACCTATCAATTGTGCCTTGGTTTGTCTCTTTCTCTGGAGATAATGATCAGGGTGGTGCTAAATTGGGCAATTTTATGTTTACTGGCTTTGTCTGGTCCACATTCTATCTCTATTAACACACTTAGAATCCTGGGGGAATAGAGAGACACAAGGTTAGGCTATTGTTAAGCTGTCAAACAACATATAACTTCTCATTTTACAATTTGTAAAGTGAAGTTGTTAAGTTGTTAGGGGCCATTGAGTCAGAACTGACCCCCCGCCCCAGCAGGTTTTCAGAGGCTATAAATTGCATGAGAAGAGATGGCCCGTCTTCTCCCTGAGGAACAGCTAGCTGGTGGATTTGAACCACTTGTGTTTGTGTTGGCAGTACAGCTCCTTACCCCAGACTACCAGAGCCCTAAGCATGTACATAGTTAAGCACATGGCAACTAACCATTGGTCCTTTGAACCTAAGACCTGAACACTTGAATAACTTTCGTCATTTCTCCACATTCATAGATTTTCCAGAGGCAAGCTATTTCAGAAGTGGATGCCACTCCTGCCTCCAAGCTTGTTTTAATCGGGAAGCTCCACCAAACACTGTGCACCATGGGTAACCATTATTGCATTTGGCACATCAGTGTCACAATATCACTCAAATTAACAGAGATAAATAATAAAATCAAGCCATTTATCCACAATCAATACCCTTGGGAGCAGCAATCAAGAAATTAAAAGATATAGCTTTGGGAAAGGCTGCTGTCAAGGACCTCTCCAAAGTACTAAGCTGCAATGTTGGTAGTGAAAAACAAAGGTGCACCTGGTTCAGGCCATGGCATTACAATTACTTGCCATGTATGAGAGCTGGACAGTGAGTAAGGATGACAGACGAAGAATCTATAACTTTGATTTGTGGTACTGGGAAGATTACTGAATATTCCATGGACTGCAAAAAGAATGAGCAGAGATATCTTGGAGATAGTGCCCCCAGAGTGCTCCTAGGAGGCAAGGATGGTAAAACTTAATCTCACAGTCAGAAGGTACTATTCCTTGGAAATGGACATCATGCTTGGAGAGATGAAGGATCAGACAAAGATGGGCAAATTTTCCAAGGGATAAATTGACACAGTGATGACAGCAATGGAATCAAGTTTATCAGAAATGATGGTGCTAGAACAGGATAGAAGAGAGTTAAAATCTAATAATACTAACGCCTTTGAACTGTGGTATTGGAGAAGAGTACTGAATAGCCAGTAGATTGCCAAAAGAATAAACAAGTATGTCTTGAAGATAGTGCAACCAGGACTCTCCTTAGAGACAAGGTTGATGAAATTTCAGCTCACATATTTTTTCCAGGTTGCCAGGAAGGGCCATTATTTGATAAAAGATATCCTGTTGGGAAAGGTGGCGGATCTGAGAAAGAGAAAGAACCTCAACAAGATTGACACAGTAACTATTACAATGGATCTAAGCATATCAGAGATGATGAGGATGGCAGGATAGGATAAAGTTCAGATTGGTTGTTCACAGGGGGAGCATGAGTCATACTTAAGACAATGGCATCTAACAACAACAACAGCAACAATACACATGTTCAACATTCAGACGGTCCATTCTTGTTACCAAACATTGACCCGTCATTGGTTCTCTGAAGCCTTAATCAATATTCTTTTGTGACAGGAGGGAAAATAAAATCTGAATGGTTATGCATAAACTATAGGGCCTATGGACTATGAAACATTGTTGGGGCTAGATCCAGGATAAGAGGTGCTGAACAGGGACTTCTGTGCATTGGGACATTAGTGCAGAAGAAAGCTTGAGGTTCTGTCTATACAGTGCTTGAGTTTTAATGTTATTGTTGTTGATAGATGCCACCAAGTTGAGTAACTCATAGTTACCCTATGAATAGCATGACAGCAGATTTTCCCAAAGTAATTTGTCTTTTTATTTCCTCACTGCTGTTGCCGAGAATGTTGCTTATGGAGCTGAACAATCTATAATTGTTAACAACCTCAGTTTCTTCATCTATCACGGTGTGGCCAATTGACCCAGAATTGAGCATCATTGTTTTCTTTCTGTTAAGCTACATTCCATATTGAAGGTTACAGTCCTTGACCTTCTACAGCAAGTACTTCAGAGTCTCCTCAGTTTCAGCAAGCAAGTTTGAGTCACTTGCATGATGTAGATTATTTATGAGTCTTACTTCAATCCTGATGCCACATTCCTTTTCACAAAGAGCAGCCTCCCAAATGATCTGTTCTGCACATGGATTGAAAAAAGTATGGAGACAGGACACATGCCTAACACACTCCTTTCCTAATTTTGAGCCAGGCAGTATTTCCTTGCTGTGTTTGGAGAACTGCTTCCTTGTCTGACTATAGGTTTCACATGAGCACAATCAAGTGTTTGGAATTCCCATTCTCTGGGGGATATCTGCTGTCAGGGACCTCTCCAGAGTACTGAGAAACAGCAATGTCAGTCTAGAAACTAAGGTGCACCTGACCCAGGCCATCATCTTCACAATTACCTGGTATACATAAAAAAGCCGAGCATTGATTAAGGACTACAGAAGAAGCATACCTTTGAGTTGTGGTGTTGGAGAATAGTTTTGAACATACCGTGGACTGCCAAGAAAACAAATAGGTTTGTCTTGGAAGGGATGAACTCAAGTTTCTCCTTGGAGGCTAGGATTTTGAAGCTCTGTCTCACATACATTGGCACTGGCCAGAAGGGACCAATCCTAAGCAAAGAACACCATGCTTGGAATCGTGGAAAGACAGCACAGGAGAGGAAGAGCTCAGATGAGATAGATTGATATAGTACTAGGACAATGAAGCTGATGTATTGGAATCAGTGAGACTGGCGTAGAATAGGACAGGCTTCAGTGCTGTTCTACAGAGGCACACAACAACAACCACCTTATGAACAATGGGTTTGAACCATGTACTATCAATCTAGTTTGTTGAGAATCTTCCTTTGTTTCACTCACCCTCCATCTTTCCAAGCATGATGTCCCTTTCCAAGGAATAGCCTTTTCAAGCAACATGCCCAAAATATGTGAGAAAAAGCTTGATTTTTTCTTACCTCATATTTGCTTGTTTTTCTGTCTGTCCATGAGGTATCCAGCACTCTTCTCTAACACCACAACTCAAAGACATCAGTTTTTCTCTTGTCATACTTTTTCATTGTTCAGCTTTCAGATGCATTAGGAACACCTTAGTCTTCAAAATGACACAATTTCTCTTCATGACTTTAGAGAGGTCCCTAAGGACAGACTTTCTCAATGTTATAGCATCTCCAGTGCTATCCATCCCGATTGCTAGTAACAGGGTGTTGATTGTGGGGTTGTTTTTTTTAAAGAAATAATTGACCATTTTAATCTTTTCTCAATCTATCATAATATTGTCTATTGGCCCAGTGGTGAAAATTTTTGTTTTCTTGGTATTGACATGTAACCCACACTGAAGGCTACAGTTCTTGAAACTGTACAGCAATCACCCCAAGTCCCTCTCACTTTCAGCAAGAAAGTTGTCATCTACATAACATAGGTTATTGACGAGTCTTCCTCCAATCTTGATACCATATTCTTCTTCATAAAATTCAGTTTCTCTAAGGATTTGCTCAGCATACAGATTGAGTGGGTTTGGAGCAAGGATACAATTCTGATTTGGATCTTTCCTGATTTTAAACTATGAAGTATTCTCTTGCTGTGTTTGGACAATAGCATCTTGGGCTAGTTATAGCTTTTGTATGGACATAATATATATGCTTGATTGTTCATAATTTTCTCTAGCACTTATCTCTAAGAGTAGTCTATTGAGGTAGCTTACTGGCTGGTGTAATGCTATAAGCTGTGCCACTGGCAGTTTAATACCAGCAATGGTCCATGGTGGCCACGTTTCAGCGGTGCTTGAAATAGTCAATCATTAAGGTGCACTTCAGAAGAAACGATGGTGAAACTTCAACTCATATATTTTGTACATGTCATCAGGAGAGGCCAGTTCCTGGAAGAGAAAATCATGGTTGGAAAAGTAAAAGGTAAAAAAAAAAAGAGGGAGGTACTCAATGAGTTAGATTGACACAGTGACTTCAACAATAGGTTTAAGCTAGCAGATGATGAAGATAGTAAAGAAGCAGGCAGGATTTTCTTTTCTTGTACATACCACTACAAATTGGAGCTGACTGGACAGCGGCCAACAACAACTACAGTCAAATTTACTAATTAAAGCTTGTCAGTCAAACTCTTGCTGACTCAAGTGGTTACAGTTATGCACTTTAAACAGTTAGAACCAACTTATGACTAACCCTTCATCAGGTTTCAGAGGCTGTAAATTGTTTGGGAGGAGATTGCCCATCTTTCCTTTGAGGAGTCATTGGTTCATTCAAGTTGGAAAAACCAAGTTCTGCCACTTGACGCCAAAACCCAGTTGTATAGACAGAATGTAGAGTGGGAAAAGCAAAAGTGTTCTTTAAATGCATGCATATGAGAGACAAGGGTTATGATATTCACAAATCTGTCTCTCCTTTATTAGAGGCCGGAGGGGCTCATATAGAGGGAACCCAGGCAACAAGTGAGGAATCTTACGATATCTGATCCAGCTGTCAGGACCTGGTGATAGTTCTGGGAAAACAGGCCCTGTCTTGTCAAAAATCTGAAATAACTGGCACCATCCAATGTTTTACAACTGAAGGGGAGTAATTCCTAAATGCAGTTTGTCAGTTTTATGTGGAGTAAATCTCAGTTGCAGATTGCCAGATAGGACAAAGAAAAGCTACAATTAGAGAGTTATCCTCAACTCTCAGATTGTTGATCAAATTGGTAAAAAAACCTTGAAATGCCCTTTCTTTTGATAATGTAGTCAGTGGTAGGCTAGGAGGAAAA